GTAGGTACGTCCTTGAGATGACTTGGGGTGGTAGACAGACCTTTTAATAAGTTCTTTAAAGCAGTATTGTATTTAAATATAAACACAACTCCTAAAATGTTTGTGACCAAAGATTATTTTTTATGTCAAAAGACAATGGTTTTTGCATTTCTGCTGATATAAAGTTTCCTTTTAAAATAAATTAAGAAGTGAAAGAAATTAATTCAAAGAAAGCTGTTAAGTAATAATAGTACAGGTGGTACCAAGAAGTGGTACTGATTGTGACAGTGGTATGCAGATGACTGAGTTTTGAGAGGTACTGTGAGTGAATTGAACCTACTTGCTCTTCATTTTGTGACAGAAAAATATTCATCAATATTCATGGAATGTGAGTCCATTATATGGTTATAAAATTTTTCATGTTGTATGGGGCCCTGACATTATCATAGGGCAACCCCTTATTAGACAGGTAGTTTCTGAGGTCAAGAGATGTGGTACCTTGATTAGGTGCAGTACACTGGGGAGGAACTAGGATTTTACTGTATTAATGAAAACAGTGCTTTCTAGTGATCTAGACGTCATAAGCAGAGTCCACATGGGAAGAGAGACCACAGGACCATGAAAACTGAAACTGTGGCTCATGACAAGATCTCAAGAGGCAACTGTCTTGAAATATTTGTAGATCATTTACTTGGAAGAACACTGTATTTATTCTGTGTGACTTCACGGTGTCTAAAAGTAGGGGCTGAAATTATAGGAGGGCAGATTTTGACTCAGAGAAAATTTTTTATTTAACTAAGGACGCCTTCAGAGATACTGGATTCTCCAAGAATAGAGGTATTCATTTAAGCAGAGCATGATGCCCTAGGGGACTTGGGGACCAAGTGCTGGGTGAAAGTTGGAGGGAGGTGGCTTACCTAAGGTCCTCTCTCCTCTTGAATGTCACCAGTCTGAGGTGGCCTTCCCTGCTTTCAAATGGCTCATCAAAGAGAACCATTGTCTGTAGTTACTATCTCAGTTTTATGTAAAAATCAAGTCACATTTGGGAATTTCCCTTCCTTCTTTATCACTTTTTACTGCTGAGTACATGCAAAAAAAAAAAAAAAAACAAAAAAAACCCCAAACCTTTTTGATGCTAAATGAGACAATGTGAACATAAACCAGTTGGTTTAACTATCTGTTTGCCACAGTAGGCTGTTAAATACTTGATAGTTTGGGATTCACATTTTCATCTGGGTCTCTCTATCAGAAAAATACGGTCAGTCTGGTAAGTTGTAAGTTCCATCATTTCTTACTATCGGTGCTGGTAGCTACCAGTGCTGGGCACTGGTGGCTCATGCCTATACCCTAGCTACTTGGGAGGCTGAGATTGGGAGGATCACCGTTCAAAATCAGCCAGGGAAATAGTTCGTGAGACCCCATTTCCAAAATAGCCAGAGCAAAATGGGCTGGAGTTGTGGCTCAAGTGGTAGAGCACCTGCTTTGCAAGTGCCAAGCCCTGAGTTCAAAGCTTAGTCCTAGTCCCATCAAAAAAAAAAAAGGAACGCTACCAGGAAGTCCTTATGCAAAATGCAGAATTATTAGACTAGACTAAACTAGGTGAAATTGTCATTTTGTGGCTAAAAAATCTACATTGGCAACTTCACATGCTTAATAGTAAGATATTTTGTAAACAATTTTGTGATTACTAATACACTTACATCATTTGCTACTAAATTCAGTATTTTCTTTGCAATACAGATCAAAGAAACAGTGTCACAGTCAGCCAAATTATCAATCAGCACGATGTCTTCTAAAGAGGCTCCATGTTCCTTTTAGCTTGTTGCAGCGTATTTTTCATTTGCAAAGATGTTAAACCTTCTAAGGGCAGATATTAAGAAGTCAATTGTAGTTGTTCCAGCAAAGTTTGCCCACGGTGAAAAACAAGATAAAACCCATGCTGTAGCTGAAACCAGGTGGGGAGAGAGTGTGTGGTAGTGCTTGGGGGAGGAGGGGAGCAATTTCTGAAATGAGGATTTCACAAAGTATAATCCAGGTTCATTGCCTGTTTACATGAAAAACCAAAGCTTCAATTTCACTTCAGGTGATAGGTGTTTCACACTGTCAGCACCAACTGTCTAACTAACATCCAAAAGTAGTGTCTGAATAGGTAGGATTGCCAGGTGCCAATGGCTCATGCCTGTAATCCTCAAAGTAGCATAAACTACTTTGGAGGCTGAGATTGAATCATAGTTGGAGGTCAGCCAGGGTAAACAGTTTGTGAGACCCCACCTCCAAAATAACCAGAGCAAAATGGACTGGAGGTGTGGCTCAAGTGGTAGAGCCCCTGCCCTGAGCTCAAACCCCAGTCCCAACAAAGCGGGGTGGGGAAATAGGATCAAAACTAAAGATTTGGACACAGCTAGTTAAACTGCAGTAGATAAGCATGATGCTCTCAGATTCTCTTTTCCAATAGTCCATCTATTGTATCTTTCCCACTCAGCATTCACATCTTGTTTGAATGCGAGCTCCTCTTTACTCCTTCCTAAACTCTTCTTCTCAGAATATTGTCATGCATCATTTCACAGCAGGGATGTGTTTAGGCTACAACTGATTGCTCCTAGTCTACAACCAGGTATATAGCATGTTACTGTAGGTGATGGTAACACAATGGTAAGCAGTGGATATAGAAACATAGGAAAGGTATAGTAAAAACTACAGACTCTTAGTGCTAGGCATTCAGTTTCATTAGAATCTTATGAGGCCAGTCTCACATGTAGTCCTTTGTTGATTGAAACATTACACGGTGCATTGACTCTACGTAATTTCGTGTTACTCTAGAGGAGTCATTTAAGAAATGTTTCCTGAGAGAGAAAATTACAGAATTTGACATTTCTATGAGAAAACTGGGGGACTATTTGTTGTTGGAAATTAATAAAATTAAAGCCTCAAACTTTATGTACTCATACTCAGAACAAATATACTGAAAATCATAGCTATTTGGAACTGTAAGGGCACTGGGAAGGTAGCTCAATCTACTTTAGAGTTGAAACACACTCAGGATTTAAGCTACTTGCCTATGTAGGGGTATGAAAAGAAAAAAAAAAAAATCAAAGAGCCCTGTTAGATCACATTCTCAAAACCAAGAAACATCTTAGCCATTGGTGTGGGACATCCTTAACGAATTTTAATTCATTCATCACCCCTGAGGTTAGGGAAGCTGTCAGACCCCATCTGATGTAATTCTTTATTCAGCCAGCTCTGTATTGTATGGGTAAGCTCAGTCTAGATTTGTTTTCCCATAGATTTCCTTCCTTAGGGCTTCACCTTAGCAGAGGCAGGAAGTGCTTGCATCCTGCTGGAGGATTTGATAGCACAGTAAATAACCTGACATCTGGCACTGGCACTGTTTACACCCATTTAATAAAGAATATATGAAAGAGGCTGTCAAATTTGTCTGGGATGAGATGCTTTGAGTTCTTAGCCCCACAGTGACCAACACCAAGAAACAGACCTATTTGAGAAACTAGTTTTGACTCTCACAAGGAACCATGAGAAAGATTCCACATATTATTTAGTAAAACAGATGTCAAAAGATGTCTCCACTCAACATACTTCTTCCCCTCCTCTCAGGAAACTGGACAGACTGACTGGCAGTTATTAATGGTGTCATATGCTCAAGAGCAACTAATTCACTGTAAATTATGGCATGCCAGTATAGAAAAGTTCTCTACTCAAAAGCACAGGGTTCACATTTATTTTTGTTTTTGAGACAGGGTTTCATTGTGTAGTTCAGGCTGTCCTCCCAGGTGCTGGAATTACAGAAGTGTACCATCATGCCATGTTTAGCTACATTTATTATTTAGTCATGTTTTTACAAAGGTAATTTAAATACCATAGACTTCTTATTCCTCATGTTGACCTAGAAACATTACTTCATTTCTGGAATCAGCCCAACCATAGGTGATAGGACTACTGTGTAAGGAAACTGTCACAGGTGTTTTGTACAAGGAACTCAGTACCGCAGAACTTCTAATGGCAGTAAGCGGCTATTCCACTGTCATTGCATTATAGAAACAAATTGAATGCTTGTCTTGTGCAAGAATATTTAGTGCATTAAAAACAACGAGACCTTCTTTTTTCCATTTTCTTTATTACATTTGGACCTTTAAGAAACATTTACCATCAGATATACTACTATTCAGTAAAAATCTATTCTAGTTTTTAGGACTCATACGTGTCACAAACTATGTAGCTTCTAGTCTCCAAGACTTAGTACTAAGAGTTTATCAAAAAGATAGGCTCTGATCAGTGGGATCCTGAGCCTTGAGGTTTTGAATGTTTTGACTACTGTAAAACAACTTCAAGTGGATGAATTCCCAGCTGTTTTTCTTCAGGATTGGGCTAATCATTTTGAACTTATCTAGTCCATTTGTAGAATATCCCATTCCTTAAGCTCTGTGATCTGTCTTTGGAAAACCTGGTAAAGTATTATTTTTTCTGTGCAGTGAGGGTGGAATTCACCAGCACAGACCCAGTGTCAGTGAGAACACAAGCCACAGGAAATGTGCACGTGCTGTGCTTGCTTTATGACTACTGCACACCAGAGACTACGCTAACCGGAGACTATTTCTGGATCAGTATAAGCCACGTGTAGTTAGTTGCAGGCTACAATCTACCCCTTCACACAACTCTTGGTACCCGACATTGATTAGAAACAAAACGGGAAGTGGACAAACATCCTCACATGACTGTTTTCAAGAAGGTCCTCTGCACAAGTACACAAGAGGGGACTGAGGAAGCTGCTGATGGGGACTGGGAAGGTTTAAAGCTATGGCTTTGGTGAGCACCCAAGTGAGCTGTAGGAAGGCATTTGTAAGAACAGATTATGCAGCATTGAAGGATAATTCTCTAAAAGAGGTGGGTATTTTCTCAATCTAAATTCTGAGGCTTTCAGCAGTTGAGGGCTAACAACAAGATCCAAAAGCCTCTAGTAGTATAATATGGACAAGAAAAAAAATTAATACACAGACCATATAATACCATTAAAAAGAAAAAAAAATTTTTTTTTTTTTCATTTAAAAAAAGTATTTAGGACACATAAAACAAGGCAACATTTATTCTTTCTTCTCATCTTCTGGTATGGGATCTGTTGGTGGCTCCTCCACTGTTGCACTGTTGCTCTCTGAACCAGTGTTACTGTCACTGGTTCCTTCCTCTGCCATGCTGTCGACCCCCTCCTGCCCACTCTCCTTGTCCTCAGGAGTAGATGTGCCTTCTTCGCCATTCTGTTGGCTCTCCGTCGTTTCTTCGAGGCGGGTCTCCTCTGTAATCACACATTTGTCACTGTCAGTTACAAGACAAACATTTATTCTAACTATGCTGATGACACAGAGCTGTGCTGTTCAATATGGCAGCCAGTGGCCATATGTGGTTATTAAGCACCTGAAATGGGCCAGTGTGACTGAGGAATTTCTAAATATAATTATAACAATTTAGGGTATGAAAATCCACTTTTTAGCTCTAAGTTTATGAAATCTAAATACAGATCAAATACTTCTGAGGAAAATCTAGCTTTCAAACTAATGTGCTACAAAAATAAAATACACACTGGATTTCAAAGACTCATGAAGAAAAGAAAATGTAAAATGTTTAATAATTTAAAAAATATTGATTACATATTGGAATAATATTTACAATATATTAGATTGAATAAAATATATCATTAAGTTGGGTGTGGTGGTGTGCATCTGTAGGAGGCGGAGGCTGAAGACTGCTTGTACCCAGGAATTCAAGGCCGGCCAGGAAACATAGTGAGATGAGATCCTGTCTCAAATAAACACAAATTTTACTTGCTTTATCTAACTTTAAAAAAATGTCACTAGTAGAAAATTTAAAAAAATTATACCTGTGACTTACATTTTATTTCCATTGGACAGTGCTGTCAGGCAGTGCTTTGGATTAAATGGGAAAGCAGGTGTGAAAATAAGATAAGGTTGATATTTTAGATGTTTTATTAAAAGTCATGCTAGTCTATTTCCTATAAGAAATTAAAAGCATGAGGTTTCAGCCTGAAGTCTCAATTTTCTTTATTTTTTTTTTTTTCCCTCAAGCTAGAACAGAATCTGAGTAAGACCTTAAGAGTAAGATAGGCCTCATTCACAGATGGCAAAACAGAGGCAAAGGACTGAGTGTTTGATCTAACTGCAAAATAAGCAAAGAACCATACTCTGATTCTCAAGCTTTTGCTTAACCACAAAAATGTGCACATGCTCCAAATTTAAGATAAAAACATGTTCATAAAAACAGAAAGGCTTTGATAATGAAACTTAACAACTCTATCTGAAATGTTAATCTGCTGAGTTAAATCTTACAGAAATACCTGGTAAAGATATTGATAGTCCATTAAATGCTTTCCAGGTAGTTGTCTTTGAGCACAAAGGCTGACTATGTTCCTCCTACTTCTTGCAACGCTGGTCCAGGGAGCCTCTGATGGTGCTGCCATAACTACTTTTAGCTTAGTCCTGTTTGCACAGTGCATTAGGCAGGTTTAAAACAGTGTCGGAGGTAAGGTGATCTTGAAATTTACATGTCACTTTTTACCTTGAGGGATGCTTTTTATTTAGGAAAATCAGTACATCTAGAAATGAGTTTCTAGGATGGGGACAGCAATCTTTAGGTTTTATGGGCCTAAAGTAGTTGCAACTACTCAACGATACTGCTATTACCTCAAAGCATTCATACACAGTATGAAAACAAACAGGAGTGGCTGTATTCCAATAGAACATTACAAAAAAAGGGGTTTGTGTGCAGGATTTGTCTCATAGGCTTTATTTTGCCAAATGTTGTCTTAGAACACCAAAGACAATCATGTTAAGAACAATTATCATATCTCATGTGAATAATATTAGTAATATTAGTTAAAATATTTCATGTTAATACCATACTAAATCTAGTACAAGAATGCGCTCATAAACCAGGTGCCCGTGGCCCATGCCTGTAATCGTAGCTACTGAGGAGGCAGAGATTAGGAGGCTCTCGGTTCGAAGTCAGCCTGTGCAAATAGTTCATGAGACCTTATTTTGAAAAAACCCATCACAAAGAAGGGCTGGTGGAGAAGTGGTGGAGTGGTTCAAGGTGTAGGCCTTGAGTTCAAACCCCAGTACTGCAAAAAAAAAAAAATCTCATGGAAGCAGGTATTGAAATGCTTTCAAATGAAGAAATGAGATTAAATAACTTGTCCAAAGTCCTTGTGCTCACAACTGGGGAAGCAGAACTAGACCTGGATCTATCTGACTCAAGAGCCAGTATTCTCCACCACCATACTGATCTATTTTACATTCTTAAGTCAGAAGACACACATCCATCTTGGCATAAAGAAGAACTCAGACAGCAAGACTAATGACAATGTGTCATTGGTGTCTTGCAGCAACACCAATGATTTCAGTGAATCTAGAGATTAAGATTGGGAAAGAGTTGGGTAGGTCACACAGAGAATGACTCGAGGTAAGAAGAGTGATCTCTGAAAAGCATTTAGAAATAAAATCAGCCTTTTGGTCGGAATGGCCATCTTCCAGTAATTTGCCAAAATGATGAACACAAAGGAAAAGAGGAGAGGAACCCAGTATGTTTTCTAGGCCTTTTAGGAAACATGGAGTTGTTCCTTTGGCCACATACGTGTGAATCTACAAGAAGGGTGATATTGTAGACATCAAGGGAATGGGTACTGTTTGAAAAGGAATGCTCCATAAGTGCTACCATGGAAAAACTGGAAGAGTCTACAAAGTTACTCAGCATGCCGATGACACTGTTGTGAACAAGTGAGTTAAGGACAAGATTCTTGCCAAGAGAATTCATGTGCGCGTTGAGCATATTAAGCACTCTAAGAGCTGAGAGAGCTTCCTGAAACACGTGAAGGAAAATGATCAGAAAAAGAAGGAAGCCAAAGAGAAAGGAACCTGGATTCAGTTGAAGCGCCAGACTGCTCCACCCAGAGAAGCACACTTTGTGAGAACCAACGGGAAGAGCCTGAGCTGCTAGAACCTATACCCTATGAATTGGCATAATGGATGTAAAAAAATAAGACTGGACTGCAAAAAAAAAAAAAAAAAAAAAAGGAACAGAAACAAAAATCAAAGTTAGGGAGCCGTAAAGGAACCTCCTGGGGTGCCTCTGGTGGGGGTTACCTGTTTCCATTGGAACGCTCTCATCGTCTTTCTTCTCCTCAGCTTTGTTCGATGCTTGGTCTTCTTCAGGAGCAATGCTGCCCTGACTGCGCTCGGCTTGCTCTGCTGCCTCCTTCTCTCTCTCCTCTTGCCTTTTGCGGGCCTGTTCCTCAGCCTGTGCAATTTCAGCTGCAATTTTCTCCATATCCACTTCTACCTTTAGACCGCACAACTAGTAGTCAGAAAAAATAAAACTCTTAGTAATGTTCTTTTCTTAAAATCTTTGACTGGATAAATTGTTTCAAAAGTGGGTTTCTCTGTCTATGAACAAATACATGTATGAGAGAGAGAGAGAGAGAAAAAAAAAGGCTGTAGATCTTCTCTGAAACTGCCCATAGGCCCAAGAAGTTACACTAGCAGCCATATAACACAACTCTTACAGAGCTCTCTGACAGCCCTTTTTTGTGATGGGTTTTTTCAAGATAGAGTCAGCAGCACCTGGCTGACATTAACTTGTTTTAATACAAAGTATGAACTGTGAAGTACATCTAATGAAGACAATTAATGAATAAATGCTAATGAGTTAAAATTCATGATTGAGTAGGAGTTTCAATGGAGGGTTCTAACATTTGTAGGCCTAGTGCTATATGTACATTATAAAATATTTAAAATATGTTTTTTCAGAAAATGGGAATAATTTTATAAATGGAATGGTACAGGTTATATTGTGAAGTTAGCCCTGTTTTAAAGTGAACAACACTCAATAACACTATTTTGGAAAAAACAAGGAGGAAAGAACCTAACAGGCACAGCGATAAAAGAACAGTCAACACATTGAATGAATACCCTTTTAAGTTCATTGTTAAAAGAATCTGTGCTTTCCAGGAATTTCCTCTTCTTTTCCTGGTGTCGTTCCTCTATTTGAAGAAGTTCAGCTTCTAGTTTTCGCTGTAAGACATATGATCAGGTTTTGGAATTACATTATTTTCTCTGAAGCAGGTGTCAAACAGAAAATATAACTCATTTTTTAATGACTGACATTTTCAAATACTATGGCAAATAATATTTTGCATTTTCATTTAAATCATTATACAAGTTTAGTTGTGAGTTTTAAAATTATAAGATGCTGCATAGAGAATGACTATGATTGGTAAGTCAATGTTAAAGAATACTGTTTGCAGGCCTAAGCAGTAAAGGCTAATGAGGTGCCTCAAAATCCTTAAGTTCACATGTACTTAACAGATACACTTTCCATTACAAGTTTTAGTTAATTTTTTTTTTTTTTTTTGCAGTTCTAGGGCTTGAACTCAGGGCCTACACCTTAAGCCACTCCACCAGCCCTTTTTTGTGAAGGGTTTTTTTGAGATATCGTCTTGTGGAAGTATTTGCCCAGGCTAGCTTTGAACCTCGATCCTCTTAATCTCTGCCTCCTGAGTAGCTAGGATTACAGGCATGAGCCACCAGCACCCGGCTTCAGTTAATTTTTAATGACAAACTTATTAAACCTTTGGAATGGTCTACTCCCCTAAACCTCTTTTCCAAATCAGGAACAGTGAGCCTGAGCTATTTCACAAGTATATTTCTTCATGGTATAAGAATTAAGAACCATGTCATCTGGGATTTGTGTTATAGGCCCATTTTATTATAATGAATGTTTTGTAACCTTACCTGATGAACCATTAAGGACTGGACCTGTCGCTTGAGGACTTGCATTCTAGCTGTTGTGACAACTGACCGAACATCTGGCACCACACTCTCACTTAGGATTTCACTGATGAGGCGGTGGTTTCTCTGGAAACGGGCAGTGGCTGTATGCTTCATTGAAAAGCCATCATCATAATCTGGAATGAATGAGATGTTCTGGAAAATAGTTGCTAGCAACCACAAACAGGCGAGTGTAACAGTATTAACATTTAATTAGCAAGAAAGGTTGGCCATCACTGGCCCAACAAGGTGGGTCTGTCCAGCATCAGGGAAGCTCTGAGCAGACTCATGGTAATGACCTCACAGAGAACAGAATGTGCTCACTGGCTAAGTTGTTAAGTAATGATGTGTGCCTGAGGTTTGTCTGAAACAAATGAGATATAATCATGCCTCTTTTGGCCTTGGAATCTATGTGAAGACTGCCTGTGAGGGCAGTAACTGAAATTTTGCTGAATGTATTACTACTCTCTTAGTAGTGATATAAGGCGATTAGTAACGGATGAACATATAAACTGGGCAGTATCTCTGTCACTGTATTTACAATTAATGAAAAAGTCCATTTGTAAAATTTACTTATCACAGCAGAGAAAACATCCTCTGTAGCAATACTCAGTTTCTCAGACAGCATTTATTAGATTAAAAAAACATGAAGGCCTGGCCAGGTGCTAGTGGTTCATGCCTGTAATTCTAGCTACTTGAGGATCATGCTTTGAGGCCATCTTGGACAAATAGTTCATAAGACCCCATCTCCAAAAAAACCAGAGCAAAATGGATTGGAGGTGTGGCTTAAGCAGTAGAGCACTTGCTTTGCAAGTGCAAAGCCCTGAGTTCAAACTCCAGTCCCATTAGCCCCCGCAAAACAAAACCACCCCATGAAGGCCTGAAGTAATTTTATAGAAAAAATAAACTTAATTCCAAAACTAATTTAAGTTTTTGTTATTTACACACATACATATCTGTTGTCAATGTATAATGGTGTTATTCAAGTTCAGATATATATAGTATGCATCTGACTTGTATGCTTATTTTAAATAATTACACATCTAATCTTTTGTTCTACCACCATCACACTTTTTCATATACCTAGTTCCAACCTATGTTAGTATTTCCTTTTTGTTAACTCTTTTTTTTTTTTTTTTTAAAAGGAGAGACTTCCCCTACAACCCACATTAAAACAGTTTGTCTCTGAACTTCCCAATCATCTTAGTGTCTCATGGAGGTAGGGGGACCACGCTAGGAAACCCTGCTACAGAGGCCTGCATTGTGCTCTCTACAGTATGATCACTAAGGTTTCATTTTAAAAAGTCTTCACTGTGTTTTGTGTGGATCATGGTGTATGTCTCATGGCTTTGACAGTCCTTGGCTATGGAAAAGCAGCAGCTTCTGCCCTCATGTAGGTGGCTCCCCTCTCCACCTCCAAATACTCTTGGATGATAAAGCTCAAGGTCTAAAGTTTTTCTTATGCTGGCATCTTAATTATTATGTTCCACCTTACTAGCTTATTTAAGAGCCTCTCTTATCTCCGGGCGCCGGTGGCTCACGCCTATAATCCTAGCTACTCAGGAGGCAGAGATCAGGAGGACTTTGGTTTGAAGCCAGCCCGGGAGAATAGTTCGTGAGACACTACCTCAAAAACAAACAAACAAACAAACAAAAACCCAAACAAACAAAAAAACCCAAAAAACTAAAAAAGGGTTGGTGGAGTGACTTATGTGGTAGAGTACCTGCCTAGCAAGTGTGAGGCCCTGAGTTCAAACCCCAGTACCTCGCCAGCCCCCACATCCCACCACCAAAAACACAATAGGTAGATGTTAGAGACTATTTCTGAGTAAATCTCTTCAGTTCTTCTCATGTTCATGTTTTTGTCTTTTGCTTAAGGAAAACTTTATTTTCTGCTTACAGTTTCTATGTTGCTAGCCTTTGTTTCTCTTGTAAGGACTTTCATCCTGTCAATTATTTGCAGACTTGGTCTTTTCTGTTTTTTATTTCTGGATGTTTTTCTTGCATCAATCACCACATCTGAATAGTTAAAAGTCTATGTTAGTATCTTTAGCACTGCCAATTCTGCTTAACACTCAGTGTTATTTCTCCTTATTTTCTTAACATTTTTGTAGGTCGTAGCTACAACTTCCAATTCTTCCCACACTGTAGCAGCACACAGAGAAACTACTAATTTTCATATAGCATGCTATATACATTGATGGTATGCTTTTAAGCAGAGGTGGTTCCCTCTAGGGCCCCTTGCAGCTTTAGACCCTGCCTGGCTGCAGAAGATCAGAAGAGCAATCTGTATACTGAACACACCATTCGTGGAAGCCCAGTTAGGAAACCTGGCCATTTGTATGAATGGGTAACATTTCATGGGTGTGCCTTCACGAGTGGTAGTTACAAATACTTGTTAGATTTCTGAATAAAGTAGAAAGG